TTTTTTGAACAGGAAGGCCTTTTTCTGGAGAAGCTCCAGCGGTTTTGGCTCAATGCCGCTGTGTTATACAAGGGCAGCAGGTGATTATCCAACTGACCTCTGTAAAGTCGTGCCAAACTTGTATATCTAGTGATTGTTCCGTAGGCCCGCTAAGTTGGATGGAAACCTCCTGCTTCTGAAAAGCTAAAACTAGGCGAATTGTGTTTGAGAGAATAAAATTATTAGTCCCTTCTTTTGTCCTTTGACATTGGTGCGATTTTGCTTGAATTGATGTGACTTGAATGCAAAGTTGAGAAAGAACAGTTTGATTAAAAATTATAGCTAAAACTGAAACTTTGCGAAAATTTTGCTTTAATTTTCTAAGTGGTCGGTTTCTCCCCTTTAAATTGAAATAGTTAGAATCATTCTTTGTCCAGAATCGTTTTATTTGAAAAATATTTCTCCATGCCTTTTTTTAAATAAAAAGTCCAAATAGAAAACAACGACCTAAAAGAAAAATTATTTTCAACAACAAATGTATATATTGATTGTTGTATAAAGTACCCTTTTTGTATTCCTTCTTTTTTATTCTTGCAAGGTCTGTCGCCACAAGGGATGCTAGACGGCAACTTCATCAAAAAGACCCGAGCAAGTATCCTTCAGAAAGCGTGAGGAAAATTTACAGCCTTGGGCGACATAGTGGCAAGCGTGACTGGGATCACTGTTTTGCGCAAAGCGGTAAAATGTGTGACCGGTACGCTTTTTCGTGGAAAAAGGTTGTACGACGCTCACGGACCTATTCGCTATTTATTGCGAACAATACGGGATACTGTTACAACTTATTTTATCTGCCGAAAGGCGAAAAAAGTTCTACCTACGGATGTCGTGCTCAGAGACTACTCAACTTGGCAGAAGAAAATTTTTTAAAAAAACTCGTTGCAACTGGATTCTTCGCTAATGACGCAAAATAACGACTCTCTACCCAGAAAAACACCATTTGTCGCTAAATTAGCGAAGCAATTTGCTACCAAAGAAAAAAAAGGGTCTAAACAGTAAATAACAACAAGATTAATGAGGAAACATCACGTCTACACAAGAACCCAGGTGACTCCTGTTATGAGCAACTGCAATTAAGGGAGATGATTTGGGACTCTTCACTTTGTGCCAGTGGAGGTCAACAGGAATGCTTACGATCCAGCCATCAACCGTTCCTTGCTCTGGTAGCAGCAAGACAGCTGTAAGCAGTTTTAAAATTCTGCTTGGCAGATAACCGCTTATAACTGATAGCCACTGGAACAACATTATATAATTAACCCCAATATTACAATATGTTTTACTGTATGATTAATTTTTTTATAGCAATTCGGGAGGATTGGTGAGTATAAAAAGGAGATAAATTCAAGATTGGGAGCTTCAGCTTCTTAGGCTTTCTAAATAGTGCCGACTCGCGAATTATGCAGTTTCTTAGGCGGCAGTTCCAGGAACTACTTACGACTTACAACGAACGCATCCGCCTCCCTTCAGATGCTGACGACAAACTGAGACCCCAGCTGCTTAAGGATAAAATCAGAAGACAACGAGTTTTCCTCCAGTACATGAAACTGCATATTTGGGACTTAGAGCAGGAGCTCAGTCAACGAGAGGCTGGAGTGTCGCGGCAAGCGAACATTCCCAAGCCAGCGGGGGACAAGGAGATGGCTTAAAGGCGAGCTCCTAGAGCCGGGGAGCAGGAAGATTAATGAAGCAGGTCTGAGGACAACCCGATCAACCCCGCCTAGAATTGAAGACACATATATAACCAGATCAGAAGGACAAGGGAACAAGTTTTATTCGGAAGTGATCAGTGTTT